GTTTAGGAAATGAAGACGGAATGAGTTTTACTTCTTCCCCACTATTTTTTAATTATTCAACATATATTTTGTTCGATCAATATCATTGACTGCATGCATTATAAATTAGTCACTGGTTAAATAATCAATTATTAAATTATAATATTATAAAAATTAATTTTATTAATATTTATAGTAAGTTTTAAAAATAAATATATAAGAAAATTAAGAAACATGTGGCAGCCTAGATAAATCGAAGTGCATGAATTGATTTATTAATAATATTTTTAATAGTTGTTAGAGTACGTATTTCAAATTATAGTGAGATATTTATCCAATATATTAAAGTTAATTTTTTTTTCCTTTTATAACATTTTATAATATTAATCGATAAAGTATTTACAATCGTTTTAAATATAACTGATTCTGTTCATTTGGAAGAAGTGTTTAAGTAATAAATACTTCTTTAAGTAATTTTTTGTTCAACAGGCATATGCTCGGAACTGAACTATGTATATTTATATATTAATATTATAAGTTGAATGATATTTTAAAGAAAAATTTACATACTGATTTACAATTACGAGTATTAAACCGTTATTAATTGTGTAATATAATATTTAATAATTTAACACCTGTTTTAACAATCACTAAAATAATTCACCATAGTTTATAATTGGCTGTTCGGCTGTTTATAATTAAGACACAACTAAATTTACAATGGATATTATTTTAATTTAATATCAGAGTATATACTATCACATCTAATATAAATGTAAACTTGTCAATTTTATTCGTATAAATTTATTAGAATTTAAATTATTTAACGTTTGTTAATAATTTATTTCTGATTACGTATAAAAATTCAGTAAAATATAATTAGTAAGAATTGTACGTATAATGTTATTTTTAAGAAATATTACATGGATTTTACTTAATAATTATTTATTTTAAGGACTTTAGGACTTTTTCGTCTTAGATTTAGAGACCATATTGAATATTTTTAAATACAATCAGGCCATCATATTTTTCAAATTAATATATACTCGCATATACATATATATATATATTAATTACTATTATCATCGGCGATCGGTAACAAATTTTCGAAATTATTTTATTTCCATTTTGTAAATAAAAATTAACAAATCTATACTTTTTGTTTCAATCTTAACTATTAATATATTCTTTCTTTATAATATTAGGTAGTTACTAATAATTTAATTTGTATTTATTACATCTGTTTATTAGATCTATCTTATTATTTAATCAGTAGGAAAAAAATTATTTTTTTCAAATGTTTTGTCGTAAGTTATAAAGTAATATAAAGTGAATAAATTTTATAAAAATAATATTTTTATATTATATTAAGTTACGTTACATAACAGTATGAACTTTATGCTATTTTCATTAAATCATGTATGATATTTTTAAACCTATAATATTCACATATTTAAGTTGCAAAACAATATTGTAAATAATGTTCTAAATCGTCGATTTATATAAAAAAATAAAACAAAATATACATTGATCTTAAACAGTATGAATTACATTAATTATTCTAAAATATTTCTTGATATTTATGTCTGAAATATAGTATTATTGTTATAGATATGAATTTTTTTAATTTTATTTTTTTAAAGAATATTACCGTAATCTTCATAATATTTAAAAATAGATTTAAAAGTTATACATAATTAGATATTATGTTTATTATTAAACAGTAATATAATTTTAATTAAACTATTTAAATTCTTTATAAAAACGGTTAATTTTAAATATTTAGATTAATATACAATTTATGATAATATAAACAAAGAGAATTCAATATTTGCAGACAAAATAAGTAGTATATAATATTTTATTACAAGTTTACTTGAAAGTATTATATATATATATATATATATAGATTAATGTGAAAATAAGTATATATACAGTATATATTCAGGTTATTTATTATTTTTAATATTAAGAGGAATTTTTTAACCTCAGTCTCGTATACCATTTTATATGAAAGATATTTTATCATCGCACTAGTTTCAGCTAAGAGTATTTTAAATTATTTCGCAAATACAATGAGATTGCATAAAAATGTTTATAAAATTGATTTAATGAATTGTTGTTATATAAAATTACCATTTTAACATATATTTTAATATTTCTAAATATTAAATAATGCTGGAGTGTGCATCGATGAATGATCATGAATAATTATATATAAATATTTATGAGAATTCATTAACCCATATAGTCTTGTGTATTTAAATTCTAAATCAGATTTTTTAAATCATCAGATAATTTTACTTGGTCGTCAAGAAATACGTTTACATCATCAAGCTTGAAAGTATGCGTATGTATGTGATTAATTTTTAATAAAATTATTTTTAAACTTATTTCTAAAGGCTTTCGTTGGTTTAATTGTTTTTTTTTAAATACACTTATTTGCATAATAATTTTCTTTTTCATTTAATATTACAATACATACTAAGGTTTGATAGTTTATAATATTTCTTAAATGTATTTTCAACTTGCTTAGAAACTTATGTTTAGTGTTTTAAGCTAATGTTAATCGCAATAATGATGTTGTTAAAATTTTTTGCCATATGATAATTGCGCAATAATTCGAATATATTTTATTAATCAATCATAAATTTAATACAATATAATGGTTAAGTGGTATTTTTTATTAGTTAATATAATCTGAGAAAATTTTTCGAATAATTACAGGCATTTAGTCAAGTATTAAGATAAGCATTTTTAAAACCCTTAAATTATATGCTATGTAATGCATACGATAGAGCAATGATATCAATAAAATACAAAAATAAAATTGATTTTATAAGAATTACAATTTATTATTATTTCAAATATATAAACACCAACCATCTTGATTAAAGTAGTATAAAACTAAATTTATATTAAAATTCAACAAAACTTAAAATTCTTTCCGACATTACATAAAAACTATAAATATACTTACTGATGCTTAAATATATATATATATATATATATATATATATATATATATTATGGATTTATATGTATCATTTTAATAACAGAATATAGAACGTTATCGGTGATTCTATAAATAAATAAATAAATATATATATACGCATATATTTTTCTAAGAAGTTTTTACTATATACATTTGTTGAAAAACTACCACATCTTGTGTCACTTGTTTTTTCATTGAAATTCTACTGGAATCACTTCAGTCGCACTGGCTATGACATTAACTGTAGTATAATGTACATACTTTAGTAATTTACACTCGGTAATATTGCATTTACGTGCACACATGCCACGCACACAACATACGAACTTGACCTTTATTGACAAGAGGTTGTCTGAATGTAGTACCCGTAGCATAATTAGCAAATGCCTTTTTGCTGCCTTTTATTTCAAATTTTGTTTAAATTAGCAACTTTTTATTTGCATAGACACAAGGAAGAACGTAGTTATCGCTACAGTAAAGTTCCTACGTTCTTTAAAGCTAAAGTAGCGCTTCCAATGTAAGTTATTAATTAAAAGTAAATATGAACAATCCTATGAATTTTTAAATAGTTTTTATGACAAGTGAAAGTTTTGTATAAGCTTGTATAAGATAATATATTCGCATGGTTCTTTCAATTATTTTACAGCCACACAATATGAGTTACTTGAAATCAGTAGGTACAAGCATTATTTATATTGGGGCCTTCCTTGCTGTAATTACATTTGTTCCTGGAATTCCACCTAATTCAAAGTTTACCGAATATAGGTATGGTATTATGCTTAACATTTTGATAAGAAAAATATATAAGATTTCTATAATAAGAGTAAATTAAATATTATAAAAATTACAAAAATTTCATTCATAAATAAATATATTATATAATTAAAAAATCAAAATATTATTATTTGTTTTTAATGTTAATTACACTTTTGGCAAATTACGATTTTTATAGTGTTATTGCACCAAAAAAATTGACCGATGCCCTAGCTATCAATGGAAGACTAAATAATGCTGAAATTTTATTCCAAGGACATTTGAAAGGACCAGAAGCATTTGCTTCTTACAATGGTGAGCTTTATACAGGGATTCATGGAGGCTTTATAGTTAAAGTTACCGATAATAAAATTATACCTATTGTTAAATTTGGCAAAGACTGTGGTAAGATTTTTAACAATCACCAATAGATATTTATTAAACAATAATATATTAAAAAGAATATATCAATATTTAAAGATGGACTTTGGCAAGAATCTAAATGTGGTAGACCTCTAGGATTAAAATTTGACGATAAAGGTGTCTTATATGCCTGTGATGCTTATTATGGAATTTTTAAAGTTGATGTAAAAACAGGAAAATACAAAGAAATTATTAATGTTGCGGAACCAATTGAAGGGAAAAGACCAATGATAGTTAACTCTTTAGATATTGCAAATAATGGTGATATATATTGGACTGATTCTAATGTTGAGTTTCATCTTGAAGATGGAATATATACTGGTTTGGTAAATCCCTCTGGAAGGTTTGTAAAACAATTAATATTACATAATACTCAATTATTAATGAGAGTAATTTGAAATATTTAATGGTAATTTTTTCATTTTTATTTTAATATTTGATTTAATTTTTGTAATTAGTAAATTATTTCTTTTCATTTTTCATATGAATGCAAAAATATATTTTTATATACTCGTTTAAATTCTTTATGTATTGAAAGATTTCTTTTCTCAATAATTTACAGTACTTTTTAAAATGATATTTATTAATCCTTTATGACAGTTTTTTTATTAAAATTCGTTATAGTATTTATTGATTAAATGTAATTTTTAGGGTATTTCGATACGATGCTAAAACAAAAAAAAATCAAGTTCTTGTTGATAATTTAGCATTTGCAAATGGTATTGCCCTGAGCAAAGATGAAGATTTTATAATTGTAGCTGAGACTTTTGCATCTCGTATAATAAAATATAATCTAAAAGGACCTAATGCAGGTAAATGGGAGATATTTGCGGAAGGACTTCCAGGAATG